GGGGACCCCACTRGCAAGGGAAGAGCTGGGCTAGAGATAAGCAGATCCTTGTATCTTGGGCGCAGGAGAGTGGCCAAGGCCTCTGGAAGAGAAGGAGGGGGTGTCAGTGTTGGGGCTTGGTAAATTGCGAGTTCCCTCATCTCTAGGGAACCAAATGTGACCCAAAAGTGAAGGATGGGCAGGGTGTGGTGGTGCACATCTGTAATCCCAGTGGCTTGGGAGGCTGAGACAGGAGGATCACGAATTCCAAGCCAGCCTCAGGAACGGGGAGGTGCTAAGCAACTCAGTGAGACCCTGTCTCTAAATAAAATACAAAATGGGACTAGGGATGTGACTCAGTGGCCGARTGCCCCCRAGTTCAATCCCTGGTCCCTCCCACTCCGCCCTACCCCCCAAAAAAGTGAAGGATGGGGCCAGCCCGTATCAATAGCTATATGGGAGTGTACTGAAATAGGGAAATTAAGGAACACAGCTGCGGGTCCACCCTTCCCTCCTGCATAGGCATAATTCCTCACCCAGGGCGTGGGCACAGGCTGGCTCACTCAGTAGCACTACAGGCGCTGTGGGATCTGGGTTCTGTGCTTCAAAGGCCTGGGCACAGAGCTCCAAGGCCACAGAACGTTGACCAAAGACGAAGGCAACAGGAAGAGGTCGGGCTGGGGGACTTAAGCAGGCTGGTCCAAAGTGTACAAGGGCCTGAGCTCCAGCTTGCTCAGCACCCAGTACATCTACACAGCAGCTACAGGAGAGAGACCATCAGTGAGAGAGGTTCTCATCTGGAAGTGAGTTGCTGTCATCAATAAGAAATACGGCCAGTGAAGAAAATGGTGAGATGAAAGGAAGACACTGTCACTGAGGGGAGCTAATATCAGGAGGAAAATCATCATCCTCTTGGAATCACAGCCATTGGAGGCACACAGTGTCAAAGGGAAACCCCATAAGGCCTGGATCTCTAGGCCTGGCGCACTTATGCCTGAGTTCATACCTGCCATAGGCCGTATCCCCTAAAATGAACATCTTTGATCCTGTGGCTTCCTCCAGTCGTGCAGCCACGGCCCCAGCGTCTCCCAAYAGCTGGTCTGGGAACTGCAAGGCCACCTGTAAGCGTTAAACCATGGAGTCAGGAATAGCCTCTGCCCCGCCAAGAGCCTCTTCAAAGGAAATCTTCTGGGAGCCCCCACTCGACCTCAAAGCCTGGAGTCTCAGAGCACTCCGCCTCATGGAGTGACTGGCGGGTGGTCTGCGCTGCGGGCAGACTGATACTTCCCAGTCCTCATCCTTAAGAAATCCCCAAGATCCTGATCTTCTTGGTGACCCATCGCAAGAGAAGCGAGCCAGCCCTCTYTAGGTCTGCTCTCACCCGTTGACACCCCACGTCGCGGACAAATCCAATGACTCGCTCCAGCTCGTATACACGGTCGAGGTCGGCGAGAGGAGTGAGCAGTCCCGGGTCGCCCGCMTCCCGCTGCAGAGCCGCCTCCGCGGGGCTGCTAAACGTAGACTCCATGAAGCACAGCTTGGGTGGCAGGATGCAGCAGGGGACTACCTCRGTCAACTTCGGGGCCGGACCCTCAAAAGCAGTCCTCCAAAAAGCCACTTTTTGGGAAGAAGGGAAAACAGCTTGCCCACTACTCCTGGATTTCAACTACAAACGTGCAAACGCGTGCTCCGCTGGACACGGGTTTGTCAGGGGAGACTACTTCCGGGTTTGAGGCGTGGCCGATGGCAACCTTACCAATCCTAAATCAGCACCGCTCCTACTGTCCAATCCTCGCTTCCAGGTCCCACAGAGAACCAATGATCTGCCTGCACCAGAGACCAGTCGGAAGTGCCGCAGAAGGCGCGGGGCCTCCTGGGCGTCGTAGTTTCCCTGGCTGCGGATCCCCGCAGAGGCGCGCTGTCGGGTTCAGCCCACCGACCACCTACAGGAACATCGACGGACCGACTCCCTGAAAGTCACTATCCTGGGGCTCTCTACCACTGCCCAGATCCTATCCGGCGGTTACTAATGATCTCATGTGCACTATATCGCCTGGGGGTGGGGGTGGACATCGTAGCACAATTTTTAACTCAGGGGCCGAACTGCTTGGGTTTGAATATCAACGCTTGGCCAACTGGTGTGGAAAAAGGTGGAATAAAAAAGAATGGAGGACACAGTGAGGGGCTTAACAATAATACCTCCTGATAGGATTGTCCTGAGGGTCAAATTAATTTAATTATAACACTTTACAAATTAGTCCTTTGAATATCCCATTTGCTATTATACTCATGGCAGTCTGTCAATTAGGTAAACTTTTGAGCACTTATTGACCACCACGCACTACATTTCTAGTCTCTGAATTAAGAATTATCCCATTTTACAGAAAACAGACCCAGGTTTGAAGACTAAAAAGGCACAGTAGCCCGGCAAGGTGCGTAGGCCTGTAATCCCAGCAACTTAGAAGGTTGAGGCAGGAGGATCTCGARTTCAAAGACAGTCCCAGCAAAAAGTGCGGCACTAAGCAACTCAGTGAGACCCTGTCTCTAAATAAAATAGGGTTGGGTATGTAGCTCAGTGGCCCAGGTGCCCCTGAGTTCAATCCCCGGTACCAAAATAAAAAATAAAGACAGTAGGTCAGTGGCATGATCAGCATAAAAACCAAGTGTACTGATTTCAGAAGTCAAGCTTCAGATTCCTCATTCTCCTACTTTCTATAGCCTGCATTTGTCATGGGGAAGGGTGGAGGTGGGAGCAGAAGACACCTGGACACCAGGTCCGTGGGGGAAAATAAAACCTAAAAGTATGTGAAACATCTCCATCTTCTCCAGAAACACGGAGTCAAGAATAAAGTGAAAATGGGACTGAGGAGGGTTAGAGGAAGGTGGAAAGAGCAGCTTTATGATGACACAGGGGAACTGACCCAACTAGTGTGGAAAAAGGTGGAATAAAAAAGAATGGAGGACACAGAACTTCTGCAATGGTTGGGAGGGAAAAATGGAGGGGGGATGAATGTGGGCATAACCAGTTCCCCTGTCAAGGGGACTCAAAGCTCATGGAAGGGAGTGAGAACTGGGTCCTGCTCTTCAGATTTTATGTGTGTGTGTGGGAGGAATATTGGGGATTGAACCCCAGGACASTCTACCACTGACYTGTATCCTCAGTGGTTCCCCCTCACTAAGTTGACAAGGCTGCCCTTGAACTTAATATCCTGCTATCTCAGCCCCCGGAGATGCTGGAATTACAGGTGTGCACCACCATGCTCTGCAGATCTTACTAAGAAGGCTCGAGTGCTAGAGAGGCAGCCCAGGTGAATTATGGCTGAGAAGACAGAAAGGGAAGCAACACTGCAAAGGGAAGAAAGCAAGAGCAGGCCAGGTGCTGTCCTTGGTCCTGACAGAGCCCTGACCATTTATGCTTAAGATCCCTAGAAGAAAGAAGTTACAGGTGGACATGCATAGGAGCTACAACACCTTCTGCCCACYCCACCACACAACCACTCAGTCCCATATTCTTTTTTCTTTCTGGGTGTACACATGTGAGGACTGAACCCAGTATCTTGCAAGTTAAGCAAGTGTTCTATCACTGAGCAGCATTCTCAGCCCTCATTCCATTTTCTATAGCCCACCTCAACCATAWGCAAATTTGGGTGCTTTAAAAAAATACCCATGTCGGCTGGGTATATAGCTCAATTGGTACAGTGCTTGCCTTGCATGAATAAGGCCCTGAGTTCAATCTCCAGCACCACACACACACAAACAAAACAAAACAAAACAAAAAAACCCACAAGCCAGTGTGGTGGCACATGCCTGGAATCCCAGCGGCTCAGGAAGCTGAGACAGGAGGATCTTGAGTTAAAAGCCAGTCTCAGCAAAAAGTAAGGTGCTAAGCAAGTCAGTGAGCCCTGTTCTAAATAAAATACGAAACAAGCCTGGGGATGTGGCTCAGTAGCCAAATGCCCCTGAGTTCAATCCCTGGTACCAAAAAACAAAAAACAAAAAAACCTATGCCAGCTGGGTACAGTGGTACACTCTTGCAATCCTAGCAGCTCGGGAAGCTGAGTTAGGAGGTCTGCAAGTTTGAGGACAGCCTTGGCAACTTAGCAAGACCCTGTCTCAAAATTAAAATTTAAAAAAAGGGGTCAGTGATGTAGCACARTGTGGTTAAGCACTCCTGAGTTCAATCCCCCATACCAAAAAAAAAAAAATCACAACAGAACAAACCAAACAAAAACACCACATCAGCCAAGTGCAGTGCTGCAAGCCCGTAATCCCAGTGACTCAGGAGGCTGAGGCAGGAGGATTGCAAGTTCAAGACCAACTTCAGCAACTTAGTGAGACCCTGTCTCAAAATTTTTAAAAAGGCTTGGGATTTGGCTCAGTAGTTAGGTGACCCTGGGTTCAATCCCCAGTACCCAAAACAAAAACAACAACAACAACAACAAAAAAAAAAAAAAAAAAAAAAAAAAAAAAAAAAAAAAAAAAAAAAAAAAAAAAACAGAAAAAACAACCCCCACCAGACACCCATCCTGGAATTCAAAGCCCAACTCTTTTCTTTCCTCCCAAAATGGACCCAGCCCAAGGCCCCAAGTCTTCTGCTAGGATGCCTCCTATTCCCATCAAAAAAGAAACTCTCCATGTGACCTTTCTTCCCTATTCCTCCAGCTTAGCATGATAGCTCTGACTTGACCAGCCTTTGTTTAGGGCAAAGCTAGGTGCCTAGTACTCGGCATTATTGATTGTAATGCATGCGTGCAAACTGGAACTAATTTAATGGTAGCTGAGAGCTGCTAACACTACTGTAGCCACTCTATCTCTTGCCACCCCAAGGGCAACAGCAATATTCTGAATGGTTCCAACCTAGGCAGCTTAGCTACGGGAGTCCCCTCTCCCATCCAGGAGCTAGAGGGTGTCCCCACCACTCTTGACCAAGGCGTAGGTTCAAGCATCCTCCCATTCTTTCCCTGCGCTTCTAGGCACAGGCTTTCAGTTGGTGACAGTGGCAGAAAAAAGGAAGCAGAAGCAACAGTGAAGGTTCAGGTTTACTCTTTGGGAATAGGAAGGGGTGAAAAGGAGTACGTGGGTGGGGGMGCCCCTCAGTAGTCAGCTGTGTAATCTGTGCCATGTAGCCCCCGGCAGAGCAGTGTGAACTCCTTCACCATCTCCTTCACCCGCCTCTTGTTCACTCGCTCACTGGAGGAAGGAAAGGAAAACAGGTTAGCACTATCTACCAATACTGCCACCTCCTCCCTGCCCCAGCTCTGCTCACCGAAGGATCTGTTGGCTGAAGGTGTCCTTCTGTTCGGGACTGAGGCGGGCAGAAGGAAAACCAGGTGGTTGCAGTGCCTCCTTGATCCACAAGCTCAGGAGGCTGAAGCAGTGTTTGTTCAGGGCGAACAGGATATCGGCAAAGCAGTCCATGAGGCTGCGGGAGGCCTGGCCCCCAATGGCCTGAAGGAAAGGGCTTCTCAGTACACCGGGTCTTGCCTCTWCTGCAGCCAGGAGGCCAAACCATGCCCCAGGGTTTCTGGGACAGTTCTGCAGCCACRTTGCACAAGTGAATACTGCTTTTTCAGAGACAGCTAATCCTCGCAGCAATCCTAACAACTTTTCAGACACTTAATGAAGAATCAGAATCCAAGAGCTTAGAGAACCAAATTCTTCAGCCTCCTAGAACGTCAGTTGCCTCAGCAGTGAGGGCCTCCCCACCAACACCAAATCCCCACTTGCTCCAGCTCACCTCTAGCACTGCTACAAGCAGCATACGACCGTCCTCCTGTACCACCTTTCCCACAGATTCTACTTCTCCACACCGAGGCAGCAGCTCTGTCTGCAGAGGATGGAGAGGCCTGTCAGTCCTGGATCCTTCCCACCTCTTCCTGAGGATGACACCTACATACCATACCCCTATCCTCTAGAGTCCTGGGCAGGGCAGGGTTGGGGGATCAGTCAGCATGGGACTCACAAAGAAGCCACAGGAGGCCTTGACAGTAGGTGCCTCAGGGAACTTGAGGGCCAACACAGCTGTGGGAGAGACAAAGGCAGATCAGATGGGGCCTAAGAATCCTCCCAAGGGAGCCCCAGGCCCACCTGGCCCCACTTACCACACTGGAACACAGCTTTGACATCCAATCGTTCACACAGGAACAAATCTGGCTTCCGCTTGAGAGCCTGCAGGAGGTGGAGCTGGTAAGCCCAGCCCCAGCCAACTCCAAGGACCATCCCCCCACTCACCTTCCACCCCAGTCCCTAATTTCACGCATCACAGGTAAAGGCTGAAACCCAGCCATCTCTGGGGAACCCAGACCACTCCACAGTTCAGTTGGTCAGGCGAGGAACAGCCCAAGGGGTTCTGTGTAAATGTATGTGTACATAAATGTACAGGTGTGTGCAAGAAAGGTTGGAGGTGGGGATCATAATGCAGAAAAATGTGGGTCATAAGTCACTCCCAGAGCGAACACTTCCCTCCCCTCTCCACAGGGCCAGACCTCCTGCAGGGTCCAGGTAGCCAACACTTATTTTGCTTTCATTCACAGAAGAAGTCGAGCCCCCCTGGGTTTATGATCAGAGCAGCAGGAAGAAGAGATGGCAGCTGGACATGAAGCCCCCAGCCCAGCAGACCCCCATCATGTCTTGCCTACATTCCTCAGCCCCCTCCAGCTCCTGTTCAAGATGAGGAAAAGTAGGACAGGAGCCTTGGAATCCCAGCCCCATCTTTCACCTAGGATACCCTGTGTTCAGGGCCTTCTCAGCCATAACTACCCTAGGAGCAGTGCTGCCATGGGGGGAGCAGATGGATTCAGGGGGCAGATGACTTGCACCAGTTGGTACCAGGACATGACTGGCACATCCTCAGGTCACAAGATACACTCAGCACAGCTCCAGCAGTCCTCAAACACTGCTTTTTGCCGGCAATGCCCCCAGCGCATATCATAGAAATCCCCACCCTTCAACCCCTCATATACCCGCTACCCCATGTTCACTCATGTGCAAATATCCTGACATGCACCCTCACTTGAAAGGCCCTACTCACACAGCGGTWTCCTAATCCCTTACATGCACATACTGTCCCATATCTGCAGCACACCCTCACCACAGAGTCACACACCCAAACACCCCACATCCCAAACCATCCACATACCCATACTCTCAGTCTACCCAGGCCTCCCACGTATGTACACTCTCCCAGCACACCCACAAATACACATTCAAACACCCTCCCCACCAAAAATATATCCTTGTGGATACCCATACACATATTCATCCAGGCTCAGAACATTCTCCATCCTCACCCCTCGCACTCCCCCACTAGACTGTAAATTCCAGGAGATCAAGAACCATGTCTGCATTTGCTCACTATTATATCCTTAGCACCTAGCAGAGTACTAAGCATGTAYTATACACTCAGTCAATATCTGTGGAATAATTAAGCAGAGACACACTCCATTTACCTCAACTCACAGGACTCCCCCACCCCATAGGAGTTCCTAAACACAGAGCACTCTGTATCATACTAATTCTGTACTGCCAAGACACAACACACATTCCTGTCCTCCATTAAAAACACACTCCTGCTGGGCACAGTGGTGTATGCCTATAATCCCAGCAGCTCAGGARGCTGAGGCAGGAGGATCTCAAGTTCAAAGCCAACCTCAGCAACTTAGCAAGGCCCCAAGCAAATCAGCAAAACCCAGTTTCTAAATAAAATATTAAAAAGGGCTGGGGATGTGGCTCAGTGGTTAAGCGCCTATGGGTTCAATCCCCAGTACAAACACACATACACATACACACACACACACACACACACACACACACACTCCCACAGCCTAATATACACCCTCTATCACATTCCACACTCAACATCCCTCAATACAACATCAACACAACACAACACAAACGAACTACACACATCAATGTACGACATGCATCAACGCACATGCCCACACTTCAACTTCACATTTATCTCAATGCCCAAAACAATACACATACTACTTACAGATTTCTGCTCTCTTCACAAATCAAACTCAAAACATATAAAATAAGGTGCAACACACTTAAACACATACCAGACACAAACGCATCCTAACGTGGTCTCACAGTGGAGCCTGAACCCCACCACCCAGCAGCAGCACAACCTCTCCACCAGCCAGACCCCAGGCTCCAGTGTTCACATTTACCTTTAGCCCTTCCCTCTGGAGCTGCTCCAGGCCTACCTCTTAGAGCAGGCTGGGAGTACAGAGGCAGGCAGTTCCCGGCAGGAGCACGGGAACAGTGCAGCCAAGACCCTTCAACTCCAGCCCTATCCCTGAATGTCCTGGCAAGCCAGCCACACAGGAACTGCTGGGCACAGTCACCACCCACTCCCTTCCCCACTCCCTCCAGGCAGGCCCCCTTCCCTCCCATTGGGATCAGCCTCTCCCTGGTCTTTGTAGGAGACTGAGCTAGTTGAGGCAAAGGGGCACTAAAGGAGGATGTTGGGTTGTCAACTTCCACGGAAACAGATGAAGAAACTCTATTCAACTGAACAGAAAAAAAAAATTTGTCAACAGAAAGCTAAAAATAGGCTTAAATTGAATATCAACATAAGAGAAAGAGAAAGAGAGAGAACAGAACGTGAATGAATAAAACTAAAACACACCTGTGCCAGGAGTTGCATAAATGAATCAACAATATCAGGATGATCCCTGGGCCCTAAAATATAATAAAGATGGAACTTAAGAAAAAATTATACAAACAGCAACTCAACCTCATATAGTTATGTGGGACTGAGAGCCTGCAGGGAGACAGCGTGGGGGCACATGAGCAGCAGGAAGCAAGATAAAGAAACAAAACATACAAAAACCATGAACTGGGAGAAGCCCAACAGAAAGAGACGGCAAAGTGAAGGACGGGCCTGCCCCAGCTCCCCTGAAGGGGCCTTCCACCTACTTCCCACTCTTCCTCAGGCCAGTCCCCGCAGTGTTCCTTTGGTGCTCAAGCAATTCTGGACTCCATATAGTTGAAGAAATAGCCCCCACACTCTTACTGTGGCCTCCACCAAGCTGGGGTAAGCCCACTGCTTCTTGGCATATACCTATTACAGCCATGGAAGAGGAGGGCAGGGCTGGCAGCAGGTCAGTCCTTGGCCCCTCCTTTAAAGCCCAACTGATGACCCTAGACAGTCAAAGGCATCAGGGCCTGAGAAAGTGCCCCTTACTTCCATGGCTAGAGGGCTCTTAGTCTGGCCAAGGAGAAGATTCTATTCCATCCGCTTTAAACCAAAGGATTTCTGTTTGGATAGGGCAGTACCCCATGTACTTTGGGGCTGGCCAGACAAGTCACTGGCCTACGGGAGTAAATGGTGTCATTAAGTCCAAAAAATGAGAGCCCYGCCCTGGCAAGGTCCCTCTATATGGACATAGACTTAGCAGAGAGCCAAGCTCAGGGCTGAGGACCAGCTCCCACCATCTGGACATGCCAAGGAAGAGGGAAACCAGTCACCATATCACCCCATGGTCCAGTGGGAAGGCAGAGCCCTAGGAAGTCTACAACTGGGATGACATACAGGTATAGGGACCATCCTGCCCATCAAGACAACAACCCCAACAAATATGATGTTGGACACCTCTGCCTCCAGTTCTGATAATTCCCATGGCAAGAACAGGCATGCACCTGGAGCTCCTGTCTGGGCTTCTCCACTCTCAGGAGGATGCAGTGCAAAAACATCTGCCTGAGACACCATTAAGTAGCTGTGTGATCTTGTGCAAGCCACAAACACTCAGTTTCCCCATCTGTAACAAAGATAATAATCTCTTCCCTACCTCCTTCTCTAGGATTCTAGGAACCACCGATAAAGGCTGTCCCTTGGGCTGGGGATGTGGCTCAAGCGGTAGCGCGCTCGCCTGGCATGCGTGCGACCGGGGTTCGATCCTCAGCACCACATACAAACAAAGATGTTGTGTCCGCCAAGAACTAAAAAATAAATAAAATTCTCTCTCTCTCTCTCTCTCTCTCTCTCCTCTCTCACTCTCTCTTTAAAAAAAAAAAAAAAAAAAAATTTAAAAAAAAAAAAAAAGGCTGTCCCTCTCTGAACCCTGAGTTACTCAAGTCCTCAAAAGTAAGTCCCAATGTGCCCCATGCCTGGTGCCACTGTAGAAAAGTGGGTTCAATGTTCAGCTCAGGTGCTCTGCTGGAGGTGAGCCAGACAGTAATGAAGAAAGGTTCCAAGGGCAAGGAGCCCTCATCCTCCTTTATTTAACAGTGTCTGAGGCCCACTCTATGCTGGCCTCATTCTGGACACTGGGGCTGCAGGGAGAAGAGGCTTAATCTTGCCCTTAAGGGGCACAGTCTAGAAGAAAGACAGACACAAAATCTGGTTGTTGTGTGTGGTCAGTGCTGTATCAGCAGTGTGTCCACAAATGTAATTTCGGCACAAAGTTAGAAGTACCCAATTCTGCCTCAGAGGCACTTCTCTGAGGATTGATGGTCTTCCTCCTGTCTAAGGCCTGAGGAGTGAGTGTTTATCCAGTAAAGGGCCCAGGGCATTCCAGTCAGAGGAATTGTAAGGAAATGGGACGAGGTAAGGAAAAAGTCAGTGTGGATTCTACAGCTGTCATGAGGACACTGGCACATTACAGGTACACATTAGAGGTACACCAGAGTTTTGCCATATAGGTGGGAATAGGACAACAACCTGAGGGCAACAGGCAGCAAGGAAAGGAAGGGAAAATGCTCAGATCTGTGTWTTATAGAGAACCTTACAAACTACTGTATGCAGAATGGATTCCAGAGAAGTGCACATGTCAAAGTGGAAAATTGTTGAAGTAATTCAACAATCCTAAACTGAGGCAGGGCCCATGGAGGGAGAGGAGGAAAGATGCACAGAGTTAGCACCATTGGGACTTGTCCCAAAGAGGGTACAAGGAATGGGGAGAAGTAGAGTTGRGGAGAAGTGCACTGGGTTTCTGGCTCAGGTTTCCCCTTAGTTTGGACCTACCCCATACCCCAGAGAAAAGAGAGGCCAGGACCAAGGGACCAGACACTGAGACTATAAACAAAGAACACTCTGGACTCCAGCTGAGATTCCTGGTGGGTTTTGTTTTTGTTTTTGGTGTTGCTGGGGATTGAACCCAGGGCCTTATGTTGCTGGGGATTGAACCCAAGCCCTCTACCAACTGARCTATATCCCCAGCCCTCTCTGGTGGGTCTTAAATCTGGGACTACAAATCCAGGCAAGATTCACAAAGCTGGCAGAGCAGTGCTGTTTCTTTCCTAGGCTGGAAGCCTGGGTTAGATAGCTGGGGAAGGTTGGAGGCTGCTCTCATCTCTCTCAGAGGTCACAAGGAGTTGGGGCTGGGACGAGTGCCAAAGGTACTTGGCTTTGGGCCTAGAAAGGACTAAACCTTAATGTGAGGAAAGGATCCCCAATCTGAGTACTTTATGTGCAAAACCCCCAAGCCAGGGCCCCAAAGGGAGTGACTAAACCTATAATAATCCYATCAAATATGTGATCTCTCCATTTCACAGATATGGAAATGAGGCTCAGCAAAGGTTAAGTGACTTGCCCAAGGTCACACAACTAGTTGGTGGTGATGAGCTTAGAATCTAGGTCTACCTGACTTCAAAACCCATGCGCTTCCCACTTTTCATTACATCCCAAAGGAAAGGAGCCAGCCTAGTGCCCCAAGTCCCTCAGAGCCTTGCCCCTGTCTTCCCCGATATCCAGGCTGGCCCTGCGCCCAGCAGGCCAGCAGAAGACATCATTCACCCTCTTATCCACTTCAACCTGAAGTGTCAACTATTTGTAAGGTGAAATTTGTGCTGTTCTTCATCCCACAAGTATCCAAGTCCCATGTGCAACTCAGGGGACAGAGAACACAGTGGGCAGCTTTGGCTCCCCAGTCAGGGAAGCAGAGGCAGTGGTAGTGGCGACAGCAGCAGAGACCCTGCTCAGGACCTACCTTGCTGGAAGAGAGTGAGTGTGACGGAGGTGACGAGCAGGAAGAGGGCCTCAATTGGGGGAAAGTGGGCCGGCTCATGAGCAAATATGTGGACCAGCTGAAACAAAGCAGAGCAGAGAACACTGGTCAGCTGGGGCACTTCTTATCAAGTCAAAATCCCTAACTGTGGTGGGGGACCCCAGCCATGCAGCCTGCTAACCCATCCCACCCAGGTCAGATCTCTGCCTAAGATGATAKCCACAGCTGCCCAAACCAGAAGGCCCACCTGTCTAGTGAGGTCAAGAGCAGAGGCCTGGGGGATAGTGCTGTACATCCGGCCTAGCATCTCACACAGCTGTGGCACCATGGGGGCAAAGTCATCCAGCAGGGTCTTAACAGACTTCTCAAAGATGGCGCACACCGCCTTGGGAAGAAAACAGAGGGGCCCTGGTCAGCAGGTCACCACTAGCTGGAACAGAACTGTAGCTCTGCCCAGAGGGGGCCTAAGAAAGGACCCTTACCTAGAAGCCTGGCCAAGCCCTGCAAACCAAGAAAAATAAACAATCTGACCTTCACCCTGAAAGGCAGGGGGCAAAAAAGCCCTCCACACAGGGGCATAGGCTGAAGCTTTGCCACTTAACTCTTGCTACTTACATCTCCACCATTTCCTCTCAGGGAGCAGCAACAGCAACAAAAGCCTGAATTGAGAAGGGACCAAAGGCAGGTCTCTGATGCTATAACAGATACCTGATTATCCCTCAGCCCTAATGTCACAGCCCTTTTGTTGAGTACTTCTTATGATACTGGAGAGTTCTAAATATCTTCCCAGAAGATTCCTTGCTTCTGTAGGACAAGATTTCTACCCCCTTATTTCCTCCAGACCACTGCCAACCAAAGTGGGGCAGCAACTCTTCAGTCCTGGCTCCACCTCTGAGCAAAGTCACCATGGGAGCAGAGAGTAAGGGTCAGGGCTCACCTCCACCACCTGGGCATCATTCAACCACTTGCTCAGCACCTTCTGGATAAGCTGGAAGACCTGCTGCAGCACCACCACCACCTGAAGACACAGGGAGAAGTGAAGTGCCCCCACCATCCCTGCCACCCACCTGAGGGGGATCTGGGAGTAGGCAGTAGAAGAGGAGTTCAAACTATTACCTCCAACTGCACATTGAGTACTTGGTTCATGGGAACCCTGGGGAAAGAAGTGGTTTCCTGACCGCCCCCTCAGCCCAGGAATGAAAGAAGAATATTCTGAATTCTAGAGGTTATTTCAGAGGAAGCTTCAAACTTCAAAACAGGGACATCATGAGTACATTATGACAGGGCTGGGGTTGTGGCTCAGTGGTAGAGTGCTCGCCTAGTTCATGCGAGGCCTTGGGTTCGATCCTCAGTACCACATAAATATAAATGAGTAAAATAAAGGTATTGTGTCCAACTACAACAAAAAAATAAATACAAAAAAAAAARGRWT